GAAGAATCCGGGGGGGAAACCTTTTTGGAGTCACCTGTGACATCCCTGGGAATCGATTCCCAAGGATTCCTAAAGAATTGGTTTAGACGGGGCGCGCGGGGGGAAAGGTCTCTTACCTCCATTGGACTCGGATCCAAGGCTTCAAGAGTGGCGATCCCAGGCGATGCCAGGCGCGCGAGGTCGACGGGGTCGTGCCTTGCGCGGTGACCACCCGCACGCGCGCTCCCAGACGCCAGTTAGGGTACCTGAGAATACTGGTGGTCTTGGAAGTTGTCGCTGCCAAGGAGCGGCCGGTGGCGTTGGTTGCCTGTCATGCGGGTGATCTCGCGGCGATCACTGCCGAGCAGAACGATCTGGTTGATCCAGTAGCAGATGAAGAACAATAACGAACCGATGGCGTCGCCGCGGTATCACTTGTTCACATGACCAAAGTATGCTGGAAGCTGTCAAAACCCTGTGTTGGATCACTCCATGCATATAACGTTTAGGCCCGACAGCCTGTACCAGACTTTTGACGATATACTTGTGGTGGCTCTCGTCGATGCTGCTTGTCAAGGCCATGTGCATGATTGGCATGTACATGGCGGTGAATAGCGCATGCTTTTCTGACCGATGCCCTGCGCCATACGTTGGTGGCATGCGTGTACTAAGTCTCGTTGTGCATTCCAATATGCAAGAGCAAATTTACAGAAGTTGGACTCTCAATGCATGGGATCGAATGGCCATCGGCCCACATGGATCTTAAGGGATGGGAGTGTATGGTAGTAGCTCCATATATCCCAAGAAGTAGGCGTGAGTGGTCGTACTTCGCAATATCTCCCTGAAGCGGGGGCGAGTGGTCGCAGTTCGAAATATCTCCGAAGGACATGCGAGCGAGTAGTCGTACTTCACAATCGAGAGAGCGTGATCCACCGCCGCACTACTGTGGAAAATTCCCCCCCTCTTTCTCCGGAACCTGCCCCACCCCCTCCGAAAATCCCCCCCCCCTGCTGGAACCCCCCCCCCCCCCCCTTCCCCCTGCAACCCCCCCCTCCCCTAACCCCCCCCCTCCCCTTCCCCTCGAAAACCGGGGGGGGCACTACCCGTTCGACCCCCCCCCCCTCCCCCTCTCGAAAACCGGAGGGGGGTCACTACCGGTTCGAACCCCTCCCCCCCCTCCCCCCCCCTCGCCAGCAAACGACTCACGGTCCCTACCACCGTCCGCACCACATCCCCCGCTGTTGTTCCCAGCGCCACTGTCCTCACCACCACTATCCCCACTGGTTCCACCACCGTCCCTACTGTCCCCACCACTGCCCCCACCACTGTCGCACTGTCCCCACTGTTCCCACCACGGTTCCCACCACGGTTCCACTCTCCCCTCCAATGTCTTACTTTTTCTACCACATTCCCACTGTCCCCACACCACTGTCCCACCACCACCGTCCCCACCACTGTCCCACTGTCCCCACTGTCCCCAGCATTGTCCTCACCACTGTCCCCACCACTACCGTCCCCACCACTGTCCCACTGTCCCCACCACTGTCCCGCTGTCCCCTCACCACTGTCCCCACCACCACCGTCCCCACCACTGTCCGCCCCCCCCCCCCCGGTTTTCGAGGACGGGGAAGGGGGGGGGTTCGAACGGGTAGTGACCCCTCCCGGTTTCCGAGGGGGGGGGTTCGAACAGGTAATGACTCCCCCCCTTTTCATGACGGACTGGGGGGGGAGGGGGGGAGGGGTTCGAACCGGCAGTGACCCCCCCGGTTTTCCGGAGGGGGGGGGTTCGAACCGGTAGTGACCCCCCCCGGTTTTCCGCCAGCAGCGGTAGAGCACGCTCTTTCTCACAATTTCCCACAAAGAGCGGGGACGAGTGACCAGAATTCCAAATGTGTAAAAGGAAATGGGACCGAGCCGGGGTGCACGGGCGAGTGGCGTGCCCCCCCTTGCTCACCATCGGTAGACTGGCGATGTACGGGCAGGGTGCCGTTGGGCATGTGTTCACACAACCTCAGTCATGCCATGCTGCGGTTGGGCGAACCAGCGCTGCGCGCGAAGGCAGTCCTGCCCGGCGGGCATCAGCGCTTGGCCTGATCGCCCAACGTTGGCTGCTCATACAGCTGAGGCCGATGAAGCTCAGCCCCGTGCGCACAGGTCACGGCTGGGCCATCACGGTTGTTGCGCTGGGCGTCGGGTCTTGTTGACCGCGTGTGTTCAGGTGCGCGTGTGCACCAGCACAAAGCTAACACGATCGCGCAATCGTGCGTCAACTGTGTGAGCAGTCGCGTGTCTGGGGTCCTGGCCGGGTCGAGAAGGACTGGCCGTCGCACCGAGCGTTCAAGCAGCGCTGCGTTGGTGGGCGCGCTGTCACGCCAGCGGCCTGGCGCGAACGCGCACGATGTAGAAGCGTTCGGTTAAGTTTCCGGTTCAACCGTAAACACCCCATTTGACGTGCGAGTGCTCGTCGAGGTGCCTCACGTAGTACCGCAGGTTGTCGCACCAGTTTCCGCTGTCGTTGCTACGCTCGTTGTCGTGGTAGCTCTCGTCGTGCTCGTGTGTGTCGTGCTGGTGGCACATGTCGTGTGGTGCCAGAAGTAGTTGTAGAACCCTGAAGAACCCTGAAGAAACTCACCCTTCCAGATTTGACTACGTCTGCTGGGGCCCTGCCGCATGACGGCACAGACCCATGTGGTGGAATAGCCAATGGTGGCAGCTCTCACGCAGGGTGTGTCGAAGACCTGTGCTGAGCGGCGGCGCGGACCGTTTTGTTCCGTGGTCGATGGTAGCGGTCCCTGGGCAGAGCCTGCCGAAGGGCGCCGATCGGAGGCGCAACCCATATGGTAGCGTGGCCGCTGGTAGCGGCTCCCGGGCAGGACGTGCCAGGACCTCGTGCCCGACGACGGCATGGGCCCTTTTGTCGTGGAGCCGCCAGGCGAAGCGAGCCAGAAGCCCGGCACGTATCCCAGGCCTGGCCAGACTCACGCAAGCCATGAGCGACTGGCGTGCCAATGCGGGCACAGCTGGTCGCTCACACTGTCGGCGCTACGGGCCTGCAGTAGACCGCACCCACGGCTGGTGCGAAAAAACAATACAGGAAACAAACAGCCCGTTGGCAGCCTGATGCCTGCGCGCGCGTAGGGCCAAGGTGTAGACAATGGTCTCGTCGAAGACGTCTGGAAAGCACGGCCATGGGAAACGGTCGTCAGGCATGAGCTGGTAACCTTGCACTCTCCATCACAACGGTAACTGAATTTGAGTCATAACTACCAACTGCCGAATGTGAGCCACCGTGGATGTTCCAAAGTTGTCCTGGCCACGAGTTAGCCCAAATTCGTTGTTGACCCAAGGCGTGTTGTCGTTCCACTGCCAACTAAACGTGAGTAGTAACTGCCGTAATTTCCGCCCCACGATAATGGCCTTGCCTTCCGTCAAGTCATGTGGCGTTACCATATCGCTCGCCGGTTCCGCGTCGTTAGTTCATGAGGAGTTCAACCTTGAAGGCCTTAGTCGGCGACGCCGTCGCGCCATCGCCCCATGAAGCTACCGTGCCAAGACATCCGACGATTTGTTTTTTGTCCAGTGCGCAACTCCAAATGTCTCCATCCGCTCCCTGGAGGCAGCTCTCCGTCCCGTACCCATTTTCGAATATTGACAGAGCACCCTTCAGCAGAGCGTCCTCTGGTGAAGTCTGGCAGGGGCACTCCACGTGTGCACGGCACCGTCTTCCGACGGGCCCCAGCGGGGTACCTCCTCGAAGTCCAAGAACAACCGAATGCATCCAGCGAGACGCACGCCGGTTGGTCACACCGATGGTGGCTGCACGGGCACACACGAGTGCCAATGTTGAGTGAACTGGTGCACAGGTCCTCAGTCGGCTTGTCTGGGTGGGCGTTCTCTCAACGCCTGGTTTTTGATTGCCCCAGACCTGGTTGCGGGCCCCAGGGATGGGAAATCGGCCGAACAACTCTGCGATGGAACAGCGGCATACTCCCAGAGATCTGGACGAGACTCCCTTCTAGAACTCCGACTTCGTGCTCCTTCCAAGCGGGGACCCCCAAGGGACTGGACCCCTTCCCCGGAAACGCCCTGTCACCCCGAGCCGTTTTTTGACGATCCTGGGGCCAAGTGCGGGCCCCCGGAAAGGCCGAAAACTGCCCAAACGCCTCCCGTCGTGACTCTTCACAGCGAGAGGAGGCCCCCCCCGGAGGGGCGAAACGGCTCCGATCGGGGGTTGCTAAAGGGGCCCTGGGACACAAATAAATACACACAAATAGAAAGATTCCCAATATTTTTTCATATTTTCTGGGTCTCCCCCCCACTTCCCATATTTTCCCATATTCTTTGAGAATCGACGATTAATTGTGTCTGTGCGTTTTTTCCCCATCCTGAGTTGCCACAAGTGCCCCTGGCCCAGGGTGCCCCCAGCTTTTCGCCCCACCTTGGAGCACCTGGGGGCCCCTCTGGTCCTCGTGGTGGGGCGTTCTGGAAGCAGGGGGCGGCTCCCTGGAACTCCGGGGGGCACCCTGGGCTAGGGGCGCACCCCTGGCAGCACCTGGACCGATACTGCTACTCCTCGGGCCTCGCATGGAGCGCGCTCCGACCACGAGTCCGAAGCTGATCCAGCCGGGGCGACTGGGGCTCTCCAGGACGAGTAGCGGCATCGGCACCTGGCCCTACTCTGGACCACCTCCCCAGCCACGGCGTCAGAAAAGGAGGAGGAGGAGGAGGAGGAGGAGGAGGAAGAGGAGGGGAGAAGGGGAGGAGGAGGAGGAGAGGAGGGAGAGGAGGGAGGAGGGAGGAGGAGGAGGAGGAGAGAGGAGGAGGAGGAGGAGAGGAGGAGGAGGGAGGAGGAGGAGGAGGAGGAGGAGGAGGGAGGAGGAGGAGGAGGAGGAGGAGGAGGAGGAGGAGGAGGAGGAGAAGGAGGAGGAGGAGGAGGAGGAGGAGGACGAGGACGAGGAGGAGGTGGAGCGGGATATCATGCGCGAGGGTAGGGAGCGAGACCCAGGGAGCCCCAAGCGGTCCTCCTTCCGCGGGTCCGCGAACCGCAGCGTCAGGCGGTCCATGCCGCTCTCGGGGTCGAAGCGGGACCACCGCCCGCCGCAGCACGGCAGCGCCGCGCGCTCATGGCCGGGGGGAGGGGCCTCTCCGGGCGCCTCGCCCGGGCGGGGAGGGCGCTGCATGAACCCACGTGAGACTGGTACGAAGGAAAGGCCAGACCAGGGCTGAACCCAAGCGGTGCTTTTCGTTTTCGCTCTCTTTTCGGTTCCCTCGTTCTGTCTCCGGTCCGCCTGCAACGCAAAAACGAAAGCGAAACGAAAACGGCCCACGAAATCGCCCAAACACCGTTTGGGTCCACCCCTGAGCCAGACATCCAACGCCTCGGAAAAAAAGTCGAACCAAGAAAAAGCAGCAACTTCTGCTTGTGCCGTTTTTGCTCCCTCTACAGAGCGGCCCTCGCTGGGCGGGTCAAAGGCCGACCCTTGGGAAAGGGGCCGGGACTTCTGGGAGCCCCGCGGCCAAAAAAGGGAAGGCATCGGATTTCTGCGGCCCAGATCTGCGACGATGTGGTCTCTTCAGCCTGCAGTGGCAGCTTCTGGGAGGTCTCCGCCAGAACTGCTACAGCGCGACGAAACCCACCAACAAAAAGTTGTTGACAGTGTCGCCCGGATGGATCCCCGGAGCTCGCTGGGCTCAGTGGGATCTAGCCGCACCTGGGCGGGAGTGCGTCGCATCACACACGTTTTTGACCACAGATGTGCCAGCACGGGCGCTGAATTCGGCCTCCCAGCAGCTGCATCCTGGTCAACTCTGGCGCTCCTCCTTGATCTCAAGCTGGGCCCGGCAGCGCAGGGTTCGGGGCCTGTGTGGCCGCAGGCTGACATAAAAACGCACATCGTCGAGTATCTGGGAAGGGATCTGGAAGGAAAGGAGCCGGGGTGGCCCGTTTCCCTCAGGGTCCTTTTCCTTCGTGGTGATAAGCCCGAGTGGATAGAACCAACACGGCTATGGGATTGACCGTCGCATGCCTTGGTCTCGCTCTCGTCGCATCGGGGCGACACCCCGACTTACCAGGACCTCCTCCTCATCCACGTCTGCGCCTTCGGGGAGAGGCCCTCACTGTCAAAGCCCGATCCGCCCTGGAATCCTGGTCAGGACGCGCGTCGGGACAGATCCAGGGAATCAATTCTGCAGATTGCCAATGAGTAGGGAGGAGGAGAAGGATGAGGAGGAGGAAGAGGAATCATAATTGCGGGTTGCATGGGTGAGTGGTAGAAGACATGGCGGCAATGGTAAAAATAGCGGTGGTCCTTGTCCCTTCACAACACGTTATACCGTGTGCACGCTTGAGCCAGAATGGCAGCGAGCGCGTGCGGGGTCCTATGCGAGTCGGGGCTACCGGGCGATGGAGAATGTCCCTCCGCAACGCTTCGGCTAAATACAGAGGGCCATCCGCAATGAGGCGCCAAATCATTGAACGCGTGGCCTTAGCAGTAGACGCTCCGCACAAGTCACTCATGGCTCAGGAGCCTCAGCCCGAACAGGATGTCGTGGACCCAGGGGAGCCCTGTCGGCTCACTGGTGGTAAAGCGAGCGTGGGATGAGCTGACCATGCCCAGGGTCGTGAAACAGAACGGCACCCTGCAGCAGGGTGAACCTACAGACAGGCTCATAACCTGAGGTGGCGTCGACGGGCCGATCAGGGCACTGCTCGTGGGAGGGGCCAACACAGATCGTGCTCGGCGTGCGCACGGCCCGCAGCACTGACCGTGTCCTCTTGGTGTGACGCCTTGCCGGCGCTGCCATCCGCACTCGGCAATCCTCTGGTGTGTTGGTGCCGCCGGGCATGGCTGGCGGTTTGTGGAGCGTGGTGGGGACATCGCTGCTGTGCTGTTGGGGAAAACTCGCGCGCCTTGCTGCTTGAGTGCGCTGGCGTGTCTCATCCCGCTATTGCTGCGGTGTGCCATTGCAGGCTGGAGCACACCAATTGTGGCCGATGACTGGAAACGTCCTGACTTGGCGGGCGTCGTGTCTGCACGTGCACGTAAGCGGCCGAGTCCAAGACCCACCAAAGTATGAATATCGAGCTCCTCGCTGGCCTCGAACGTCGAACGTCCGTCTGAATCGATGGCTGGCCCTGTGTGCGACTGAAGTTGACGCCGTGATCGAAAGGCGGTCCATGTCAGACTCCAATAGAGCTGCATCCATCTGCTGGTACCTGTTGCTCGTAGGTCAGGGCCGAATACAGCTCACCCGTCCCGTAGTTCGTCGGCAACTCGATTCTGCGAAGGACATGGATGTCCTCTTCGACGCGACATCACTCCCTCGGCGCTCACCATCCTGGAGGTGATCTCACGCGGTGACAGGCGCAAGGTCGTCGAAGTGTCGTTGCCCACGCATGCTGCAGCCGTGCGCGGAGGCTGGGTGCCACGCGCTGCCCGGGGATGCAGCTGCTCTGCCGTGCTGCACGCTTCGGCGCACGGCTGAGCGCGCCGATGCCCAGTGCGCGCCACGAGGCAAGCAGCACGAGGGCTGACACGGCGCTGCTCGTCTGCAGGCACCACCGGGTACTGGCAGCGCCCCAGCGCGCCCAACACACCGCACGGGAGTGCCAAGCCGCTGCCCACCGTGCCGCCCGACAGGTACTGGACCTGGCGCCACGTAGCCCCCGACGAGGCTGATGATCAGCCGGGTACCTGTGCGAGGAGAGGTCAAAGACTTGGCCCAGCGCAGAGGTGTAGATGGACTGCGTGCCTGTCTGTGACAATGTGAGACCGAACCTGCAGAGATCTGGTCCAAAGTGCGGCTATGTATGTTGAGCAGCTTTGGTGGCAACATTGGGCCATGGACGGAGCGCACGGGAATCCCGCAGTGAGTCGCTGCAGGGCCCACGGTCGCTCAGACGCCTCGGTCAATGCCGCTGCCCATGTTTGGCTGATCACCCTCCCTGTCACAAGCTGCGGTTCAAGGCTTACCCCGTCAATCCCAACATGCACGGTCACATTTCACCCACGTTACCCCCCACATTTTCCTGATATGACAAGAGTGTTAGCACACACCGTCCACGGTGCTGTGCTCTAGTGGCGTGCAGGACTCGTTCGCGTGCTCGTCAAGCGGCACAGTGCTCTGGAGGGTCACTGGCGACTCTTGGATGTGCGGTCCACGGCGCTGCTGCACCTGGCTACGCCGAGTCGCAAGGGCAGGCGGACTGTCACCCTTGAAAGGGCGACCATCCGCGACCGCTTTGCATTGCTGCCGCAATGGAGTAGGTGAGCGGCAATGTCGTGCATGTCCTCGAAGTTTCCGCCGAGGTTGCCGCAGACTTGCGGCCTGGAGGACGTCGGTTGGGTACCGACGTGGTCGGCTCGCTGGAATCGGCAGTAGGTGTTGCCAAGTACCGTGTTCTGATGGTGTCCGTCACCGATGGTTGGCGGCGTCGGACAGGTCGCCCTGAGTGGCGTGCAAGTTCGAGTCATTTTTGTTGCACCTGATCGTGCGGCACGCTGCCATGATTGGACCGTGAATGCTGGTGCTGCGAGACGGTTATGAGCTCCGGCTCTGCTGCTCGAGATCGCGAGGATCCAGAAAGTCCCCAGCACGCGTCGGACAATCGGGTCGGTGGGCGAAGTGCCATCCAAGAGTGACTCGATGGCAGCCTGGGTGACTGCCAGACACCACAGGCTTCAACCTGAGGTTCATGCCTAACCTTGAGGTGCGACGGTCTGCCCAGAAACACCATCCTTCCACCCGTACAACCATGGGGGGCGCCACCGAGTGGCTCGTCGAGTCGCCGGACGTCTCTGATCCCTGCTTCTCGTGGCCTGTCGGCGGAATGTCCACGGTGTACCCGAAGTAGCCACAGCAGAGGAGGTGAAGACGTCACTGCGCAATCGCGGGCTGCACCTGCAGCTACGGCACGAGCCGTGCCAGTAGTATACGTACAAAGCTATACGCCCGCGGTTCTGGTCCAGCGCCATGAGGTTGGCGTGCGTTCTCTCGTTGAGGCTAGTGTTCCTTTCCGTCTCCTTTACGGTAGAGTTGGCGAAGCACGGCGGCGATCGTAACCCAGTGGCAGAGTGTTGCCGAGGCGGAGCTGGGATAGGTGGATGTTCACGAAGGCCAGCTGGCTAATGTGCAGGATCGCGAAGCTGAACTTGCTGGATGCGTTTGTGCAGTTGGTCGCAATATCCCGCTGCCCTGTAAGTCCACGTCCACGTGGAGCAGCGTAGCGGGCAAGACTTACTCCTCCACGGCGCTAGCGTGGAAACTGACGCTGGCTTAGTAGAAACAGGCACACACACATAACCATATCCGTTGGAGTCGTCCAGGTCGTCGAAGACGTGCAGGTTGCCTTTTTTTGTCCTGGCATGATGAAGGTGCTGAGAATGTCGTGGTCTGTGGCCGACTCGTTCGCGTCCTTGGCGAAGCGGTGCATCACAATGTTGGATGACTGAGTGATGTATGTGGTGGCCTCCATGGCCACGGACATGGTGCTGGTCGCTGGAGGTCGTCTCAGCGATCTCCCTCGTCCACTATCGAAACGTCATTTCCCAGCTGGCGACGGTCCTGGTCAGGATGACGTGTAGGTAGTTGGGCTGTGTGTGTGCGTGTGTGCGTGTGTGTGTGTGTGTGTGTGTGTGTGTGTGTGTGTGTGTGTGTGTGTGTGTGTGTGTGTATGTACGTGTACGTGTGTGTACGTGTACGTGTGTGATACGGCGTGCCTCCTGAGTGGAGCCGCGAGTCGCGTGGCTCGCGTCAGGGGCCGCGTGACCCTCGCATGGCGCGGCGCGCACGTGCGTGCACGCGGCTTTGCGGGGCGAGCCATGCCGTGCGAATGGGGCGCACGAGCCTGATCCATGAGACCCCCCCTGCAATCAGGACCCGGCCGCATCGAGACCAGAATAGGGCGACGCGGGGGCCTTATGCAAGAACGTGGTCCGTGATTGTGATGTTTTGGCCTTTGACTCGTGGGAGTTGTCCAAGAGTCGGCCTCGCACTCGAACGTGGCAGGGCGGTTCCATGCGGCGCATGGCGGTCACAGTAGCACTGGCTGCCGCGTAGATCGAAAACTACGAGAAGGCGATGCACACCTGGCGCACGACGTCGTGGGCCCACGTCCCCGCACTCGCGCTTGCCGCGCACTGCGCTCCGCGTGCACGGAG